ACAATAATGTCCTTGTTGTTAGGATAACAACACTATAGCCTATATGTGTTATTCTATCCGAGCCCAACTAGGGCTGCAAACGAGCCAAGCTACTCGCGAGCAACTCGAGGCTCAGTTCGATAAAAACTCGTTCGACACTCGGCTCGATTCTTAATGAGCTGGATCGTGAGCCGGCTCATTTATTAATGAGCCAAGCACGAGCCAAGGCATCTGCAACTTGAGTAGGCTCGCAAGCTAGCTCGGCTCGATGGCTCGTTGAGCTAAGCTCGCGAGCTGACTCGTTTGAAGCTCGCAAGCTGACTCGATAGTGTGACTCGCGTGTTAGCTCACACAAGGTAGCTCTCTTGCTAATGTGGCTGACGAGTCAATTTAAGTTCACTAGTCAACTTGACTGTGTGACTCGCAAGGAAATTTGATTAGCTGCTTTGTAGAGAGCTCCTATGTTGGCCTACTACTAGTCATTTAACTCATAGGTTGGTTAGACACTTGGACTACGTATATCTCAATTTAATGTGGCTTGTTATTTTATATACGCGGTGGCCAAATAGTTGTTGCATATAATTTGTAATATAAATAAATTATAGATTGATTAAATACTAATTACTCTTTAATTATATGAATTAATGATACAATATCCACATAGGCGATTTATTATTGTCTTTGAGTTACACTACACACATCATCACATATTGTAGTTGTTGCTCTGACTTTGCTTTTCTAAATGAAATGTTGGTATGAATTTTTTAAAATAGACTGTTGCTATGATGTGAAGTTGAATTAGTTATTGTTGATTGGAAGTTAAGAGGGTCTCGTTATTAAATCTTATTAACAAACCACGTAAATATGTGTATTCTTTAGTTTCTTGCATGTTCGATTTCCCGATCCATTCTAAGCATTGGTATGACTTAAAATATGACTATCTAAGTATGGTTTAGTTGTTTAAGGTTGAGGTTAGAGTATAGACTTTCAACATTATTATTTTAGTTGTTTTGGGTAAGTGGTTAGCATTTTGATGTTAGGGTTAGGGTTACGTTTATACATTGTTTATATCACATAAATGTTTCACCTTTCAATGAAAAACATTATATAAAAATTAGAATAGTATAAAGGGTTTGTTATTTTATTACCTTTACCATATAGAAAGAGATTTTGTTTGACTTTTGGAAATAAGATAAGTGACTAAAAAAATCATATAAATATTTTACTTTTCAATGAAAATATTATATAACAATTAGTAGGCTTATTATTTTATCACCTTTACCAAATAAAAAAGAGATTATGTTGACTTCTTCTAGAAACAAAAAAGGATTAAACTACCCAAAGAAGCTTTTCGGCTTCTCACAATTCACAAAGCTAGAAATCACAAAGAAACTTTTGACTTCCCTACACACCACCCACTAGCGATTGGGATTTTGGACTAGGGTTTCCGTTGTGGCTTGAGAGCACCTCTGCTCCCCTTCTCCGACATCGACGAGAAGGCCAAAGGTAAACATGCATCTCCGCAGCCCATACATCTCCGCTACCCAGTTTCATCTCTTTGTATACTTGGGTCGTGACACTCCTTCTTTCTTCTTTTTCTGTTTCCAGATTTTGCTTGCCTCGATAAGGATAATCCTTTCACCCAGAAGATTTCATCTCTACTTTCATTGAATCTGGAGTGGTTCGTTCATTTTACCTTCCTCATTCCTTATGTATTCAACTCTCATACTTTTGCTTTACGCTCGTGGTTGGATATGAAATGTCCGACTTCATTTCAGTTTGACTACGTTTTTTGTTGGTCAAGTATGTTGTCTTGCTCTAAATTTTGGCTTAACGGGTTATTATACTGGTTGTGGTTTGTATTTTGACCGAGTTTGCGTTGGATCCTGAATCAAAAAGTTGGATAGTGATCTTGTAACACTAAGAAGCATGAAGCGGATTTATGTTAGTTTCGTTATGATTGAATATGAGTTTGTATTATACTTTTGCTTAGATTCATTATGATTTACTTTAATTGAATAGAGGGGGTTCAATTTTCCCATTGACTAATGTATGGTATTTTGTCACAGAATGTCTGAAGCAATGTCTTCCAATCCGAATCCATCAATTGCCAGTTCTGTTTCTACTCCTGCAAATCCCGAGAATGCAACCCAAAATCCAGCATCTGCTCAGAAAGAAAATGATGAGGAAGAAAATCCATATTCAAGAAATGTGAGAAAGAAAACTTCAGCAGTTTGGGAAGGCTTCAAGAATGTGGAGACAACCGGTGTCAAGAAGCACCAATGCATACATTGCAAGAGGAAATACAAAGCAGATCCCTCATGGGTTACATCAACACTACGAAGACACCTGAAACAATGTCCGAAGAATCCCAATGTCCTCATTGATAAAGGAAAACAACAGTTAAGCCTCTCATCAACTCTTATACAAGCTGAAAGTGTTGCCTTTGTGCAGAATTTCAAATATGAGCAATCTAAGGTGCGTGAGATCATGGCACATTGTTTCATAGTGCATGATATGCCTTTTATAATTGCTGAATACGAGTTGTTTAACTTGTTGCTGAAAATTATCAGTCCACACTATCAGAAAATTAGTCGAACAATTATTCAGACGAATATTTTCAAAACTTTTGACATCCATAAAGCAAAGATAAAAACACTTCTTCAAGGTGTGACTAGGATGAGTTTGACTACTGATTTGTGGCAATCTGTTCAAACAGTGGGATATATGGTTGTTACATGTCACTTTGTTCGCGACAAACAGTGGGATATATGGTAGATTGCACTAGTTCGCGACAAGCTTTACCAACTCTTTCATGAGTATGTTGAAGAATACAAAGAGAAGAACATGGGGAACTCAATTGAAGATGAAAGTGGCACACTTTCCTCTTCTACTTCTGTTATGTCTTCTACTTCAAGTGGCACCGGGATGAAGAGAACGGGAAGGGAAATGTTTGACTCACTTATTCGAAATGTTGATTGTGTTACTACAACATTAAAATCCGAGTTGGATATTTATTTGGAGGATGGTCTTTACATTGATCCGGATGATTGCGACCTTAATGTTATTGAGTGGTGGAAGGAGCAACGTATGAGGTATAAGGTCTTGTCAATGATGTCTTGTGATGTTTTGGCAATTCCTATAACCTCGGTTGCCTCGGAAGCTGCTTTTAGTGCCGGGGGAAGAGTGATTGATCCAAATCGTGCATCATTGGGGAAAAAACTGTTCAAGCTTTACTTTGTTCTCAAGATTGGTTAAGAAACTATTATGGTTTGAAAAAGAGTGTTAAGGTACTTTTTACTATATTTTTTAATTTCCATTTTATTCTTATAGTTTATTTTGTATAAATTTATCTATTTTGTTTCTTTGTACTTTGTAGGCTCTGACCAAGAAAGAGGAAGTTGTTGAAGTTGACTTGTCTTAATGAGGTGTTTTGGTTAGTTTCTCTCGTTGTTCCTTTTCTGTGTTAACCTTAGTAAGAAAAGTATTAATTATTTGGGGCTGTAATAAGAACAGCGTAATAACAAATTCATGTCTTTCCTCTGTCTCTCACAATAGTTGTCCTTTATCTTTTCGTGGATTGAATAATTGTTTTTTTCCAGCTTAAGCCTAAAATGGGTATGGGGCGAGGCTCACTGCAACTTTGTTGCACTTAATGTGTAATTGTTTGTTATTGATCATTATATCTTGTTGTTGCTTTGATTATAATGTTCTCTATTACTTTACTTTTATTCAGGTGGTCATTTGCACGACGAAATTACATGCAGGCTGCAACATGTGTCGTTGCCTTCAAGATGTCTTTTGCTTATCTTGTTTTTCTCGGTGGTCTTCAAGAAACCCTGCGTATCTATGTTTTGGGTCTAGTTGTTAGTCATTTTCCATGATTGTAACTTCACAGGAGACGGAAACATGTTATTTTGAAGACCCTATTAAGTAATCAATCATGGTTGTAATCAAACAGGTTGTAATTTGATATTAAATGTGTGAATGGTTATATATTTTGTTAAAACTAGAGAAACTTTCAGGTTTGGTCGAGCCGAGCTTTGATCAAAAGCTTCAAAGGATTTTGGCTCGTTGATTTTGGCTTGTTGAGCTCATTTGCGAGCTAGAATCGAGTCGAGCTCGAGCTCAATTTTTTTCTTTCGAGCCGAGCTTGAGCTTGAATTGTATAGCTCGTATCGAGCTCGAGCCGAGCCCGAGCTGAGTTATCCTCTTTCGAGTTCGAGCTAGGCAAAAGCTCTACTCAGCTCGGCTCATTTGCAGCCCGGCCCAATCACTAATGCGTGGCAAGCGTGACGCCAAACTGGCCCAACTCACGTTAAGAGTGTCCGTCCGTGACATATCGCCCAACCAACTTAACACCTGTGTGGCGCCTTTCCCCTCGATCTTCTTTTTTCTTTGGGTAAATACAATTTAATATCCAAACCTTTCATTTTAAACAATATAATAGCCAAACCTTTTCGAAAACAATCTAATATCCAAATCGTCAACTTTTCGTTCGTTTAACCGTTAGTTGTCACAGTACAACTTTGTTTTCTTGTTTTGGCATTGCAGATGACTGAATATTTAGATATTTTATACCATCATGGTGGAGTAATGGACTTCTCGGTTTGGAACTACGATATGTTGGTGGTTTTTCGGAGAATATATCGATGGATATTGATGAAGTGTCGTACTTCGAACTTTTTTGAAGTGTCAACTAACGGTCAAACATATAGAAAGTTGACGATTTGGATATTAAATTGTTTTCGAAAAGGTTTGGCTATTATATTGTTTAAAATCAAAGGTTTGGATATTAAATTGTATTTACCCTTTTTCTTTCTTACAGAAGAATCTCAAATTTAATGATGGACTTTAGGACCTCTAGGGACCAATTAGACAATGCTAACCAAGTTAAGTGATCGATTTATGAAACATCATTACACCACTTTTTTTCCCCAAAGAACATCATTACACCACTTCATAATTCATATATTTATATTTGGTGAAAAGAATCTGAAAGCAGTATTTCATAAATCTTTTTTTTTGGCGGTGGTATTTCATAAATCTGAAAGCGGTATTGCATGCCCACATATCGCCTACTTAAACGGTCCGCTATTCCTTTTTTCTATCGCCTACCCTATTCACCAATCGCCATCGTCCTCCAGAACAAACCAGCGGTTGTTTCTTTCTGTTCTCTGCAATCTTCTCCGATTCTTTCTCAGTTCCAATCACTTGTCAATCGCACGGTGGCAAAGCCCTCCTTTGACCTTCTGTTACGCTTCTTTATATATCGCCTGAGAGTTTATGCTTTCTGCTTTTTATCTGGTTTCAGTTTGATTTTTGTATATTTTTGGTGTTGATTGGATCGGACTTGATCGTTCGTCGATTGAGCAGGACGATGGGTAGCTCCGGCGCGAACGCATTTAAGCTGGCGGATCATCCGAAGCTGCCGAAGGGGAAGACGATAGCCTTGATTGTTTTGGATGGTTGGGGTGAGGCTAACCCCGATCCCTACAATTGTATCCATACTGCTGAGACTCCTACCATGGATTCCTTTAAAAAGGTCCCCTCTCTCACTAGCTTTATCTTCTTCGCCGTTATTTCGTTTCCTTGTTGTGATATCTAGTTCACGAGTCTCTTCTGATGCTTTGATGATTGTTTTTACAGACTGCCCCTGAGAAGTGGAGATTGATCAAGGCCCATGGAACTGCAGTGGGTCTCCCTAGCGAGGATGACATGGGCAACAGTGAAGTTGGTCACAATGCTCTTGGTGCTGGGCGCATTTATGCTCAAGGGTAACTTTCCTTTCTCCATTTCTGGGTTGGATGGATGGTTTTTGCTCGTTTGATTTGTTTCACAGAGCTTCTCATGATTTCTCATGGGGTTCATAGCAGCATGTTCATGTTATCAGTTGAAATGGTGGAAAGCAATTAGAGTGATAGCCTAATGTTGCCGACCTTTTGTTGTTCTTGCCTGCTTGTATTGGAATTTGTTGGTTTCTGCCTTGAGTGGGAATTTATTCTGCTGCGCTGTATGATTATAGCGCCAAGCTTGTCGATCTTGCCCTGGAATCTGGAAAGATCTATGATGGGGAGGGTTTTAAATATATCAAGCAATCCTTTGATAAGGGAACACTGCACCTTATTGGGTTATTGAGTGATGGTGGAGTTCACTCCAGGCTTGATCAAGTGCAGGTGAGTTTTGTTTTTGCTATCAAGGACTTGTTGAGTATTTTTTTTATATGCTGGTTTGTTGTTCCCTCTCGTGGTTACTCATTATCCCCCTTTTAATCTTTTTGTGGTACAGCTTTTACTCAAAGGTGCCGCTGAGCGTGGTGCCAAAAGGATTCGCCTTCACATTCTTACCGATGGACGTGATGTGATAGATGGTACAAGTGTTGGCTTTGTTGAAACTATAGAGAATGATCTCGCCAAATTAAGGGAGAAGGGTGTCGATGCAAAGATTGCATCTGGTGGAGGTCGCATGTATGTGACAATGGATCGTTATGAGGTATTGCTTTCTATCAAGTTGAGATCTATCTGCATCTGTTTAGGTTAGTTTAGGAATAGTTTTCAACTGTGACCATGGATTGTTATGATGTATTACTTTCTATGAGGTAGACCTATGTGCATACCTTGAGTTATTTTAGGGATTGTTTAAAAAAGAATGTTCAGCATCTTTGTTTTCTGATGCTTAATTTTGTTCCGTATAAACTGAAATGTGTTAGTAGTGGCTTGTTTTGTTCGAGTGAAGGTCTGTGATTCTTGTTTAAGTGTGCTGTAAATTTTATCCACCTATTTGTATTGTCTTACCTGCGGACGGGTCCGTCTCCATCAACCTTCTTGGGTCTTGGGAGGATCTTGATACTGGGACTGACACATGCCTGATTGATGCTTAGAGGCACTTTATTTGTGAGAGTTTATCATTGGTGATTTGATATTGGAATGTTTCTGGTTGGGTCTTGAAGTGCTATTTGAAATTCGCTGCAGAATGACTGGAGTGTTGTGAAAAGAGGGTGGGATGCCCAGGTTCTTGGTGAAGCACCTCACAAGTTTAAGAGTGCAGTAGAAGCTGTGAAGAAGCTAAGGGAAACTCCCAAGGCCAATGACCAGTATTTGCCTCCTTTCGTTATAGTTGATGACAGTGGCAAGGCTGTGGGGCCAATTGTTGATGGCGATGCGGTCGTCACAGTCAATTTCCGTGCAGACCGTATGACTATGCTTGCAAAGGCACTTGAGTATGAGGACTTTGACAAATTTGATCGTGTGAGAGTTCCTAAGATTAATTATGCTGGTATGCTCCAGTATGATGGCGAGTTGAAGCTTCCAAGTCATTACCTTGTGTCTCCTCCTGAGATAGAGAGAACTTCTGGTGAATATTTGGTGCATAATGGTGTTAAAACATTTGCCTGCAGGTGAGATGGTTGGGAAGACATGTTTAATTTCCATATTTACTATAATGATTCTCTTGCAAGCATTAATTTTATGCAACATTTTAAGTGATCATTTCAGTATGTGTTCACTAATTTGAAGGCTTTTTGGTCTCAAACACTTTTTTTCAACAGTGAGACGGTCAAGTTTGGTCATGTTACTTTCTTCTGGAATGGAAACCGCTCAGGTTATTTCAACCCAGAAATGGAAGAATACATTGAGATTCCAAGTGATGTTGGGATCACATTCAACGTACAACCAAAAATGAAGGCATTGGAGATTGCAGAGAAGGCACGGGATGCCATCCTCAGTGGGAAATTCCATCAGGTAAATCAGTTGAGCGTGATGGTATAAGTATTGTCTGATTAATATATTTATTTATACTTGTTAATGTATCTCATGCTTGTCTTGAATCTATTTAGGTTCGCGTGAACCTACCAAATGGAGACATGGTGGGACATACAGGAGATGTTGAAGCAACAGTTGTTAGTTGCAAGGCTGCTGATGAAGCCGTCAAGGTAAGAAGTCATGCTGTTTAACCTCATATGACAATGACAATTATCTGACGTACCTACTAGTTAGTTTGCCTAGTTGCTTTAGTAATTTCGTGGATCATAGTTCTGGTGGCTGATTACTTGCCACTGCGTGGATAACTTTTCATGTGGCAGATAATGATTGATGCAATCGCGCAAGTTGGTGGAATTTTCGTGGTCACAGCAGATCACGGGAATGCTGAAGACATGGTTAAGAGAGACAAATCTGGGAAGCCTATGCTTGACAAGAATGGCAATGTCCAAATCCTGACTTCCCACACCCTCCAACCTGTAAGTCTTCAAGTTCATGAATGAATGAAAGTCTTGCAAGACTCGGATTCAGTCTCAACAAATTTCTGCTTTCTTTGTGTAGGTCCCAATTGCGATCGGCGGCCCAGGATTGGCACCTGGAGTGAGGTTCCGCAGCGATGTCCCAACTGGTGGACTTGCAAATGTTGCCGCAACTGTGATCAATCTCCATGGATTCGAGGCCCCAAGCGACTACGAGACCACCCTCATTGAAGTGGTAGATAAGTAAGAGAGGATTTGAGATATGAAGCCACCACCATTGCAGATATCCTGGTTTACTTACTAGTTCACTGTCTGCTGAGATGTGAACTGTTAAAGGAATTGATGGAAGTTGTGATGGTAGTGTTGGCATTTTTGCTTTTTTATTTTTTCTCTCCCCCATTTAGGTTGAAAATAACTAAATAAGCCATTTTTGACGGTCCCTGGCTGCCTGCTGTGCCCGTCCACGGGCCGCTGCTAGTCTCTATATCTACTTCGGATTTTCCTCTTTTAATAGACTTTATACCCGAGAAAAAGACGCTTAAAATTTGTTGGCCTTCTTTGTAGCGGCCATCTTGTGGATTTGATGTTATGGTTTACCATGTTTTTTCTTTTATGTCTGAAAGAAAGATAGGAAAGAGTTTGTGCATATAAACTTGTGCGTCTTATACAAATTTGTATTTAATTGCACTCTTATTTTGAAAGGGTAATGAAACTGGGTTGGGTGCCGAAGACGCAGAATGAAACTGGGTTGGGTTGAGCTCAGAATTCTCTAATGATATTCCCTCTAATGTTCTCTCTTTCCCGGTTTCCCCTCGTCACATAAATCGCCGAGACACCTCTTTTCTCTTCTTCCTTCCTTCTTGTGAGATGGCGGAAGTATATGAATCGACGGCTTTTACGGGTAAACTATATATGCTCGCTTCGCGTAAAGCGAGTAATGTGAAAGGCCACATATGATTGTAAGAAAGAATAAACTAATAAAGAACACAAACCCAAAAAGATGCAGGCCAAACTCTCATTTGATGAAATATATTTTGCAATTAGGTAAAGCAAATGACGAAAGTGGCATCAAGACCAAATGATACATTCTTCCGCCTTTTTTGTTCTTTTTTGAATTCAAATGCAAAAACTTCTTAATTCTCTAATTAACAGTAGTCGGACTTCAAAATATGTAGATTGTCATTCTCTAATTCATAACTTTATTGGCAAGCACGCGCAAATTACTAAGTTATTATTGCATAGTGTCCCATTACAAGGGGTTTCTTTTTGTAATTAACCAAAGTTTGTGGTGGCTTTTGTGCATTAAGGTTCTAATTAATTCTTTTATGACAATTGAATCCAAATTGAACCCAAATAAATTGACATTCGACCTACTTCGACCCGGTTAAAGCGAGCTTAACCCGATGTTGACGAATTTTGCCTCAACAATGAGTTTTTCACGCTTAAATTTATTAAATTAACCAAACTTGAAAGAGTTCTTTACATTAAGGTTCTAATTAATTAACTTATGACAATTGAATCCATATTAAACCCAAATCAATCGGTATTCGACCTAAATCGACCCGGTTAAAGCAAGTTGAACCCGGTGTTGACGAATTTTGGCTCAACGAGTTTTGCAAGCTTAAATCATTGAACCTTGGAGAAATTTTTGTGATTAAGGTTCTAATTAATCAAAACCCAAAAAGATGCAGGCCAAACTCTCATTTGATGAAATATATTTTGCAATTAGGTAAAGCAAATGACGAAAGTGGCATCGAGACCAAATGATACATTCTTCCGCCTTTTTTTCTTTTTGTTCTTTTTTCATTTTAAATGCAAAAACTTCTTAATTCTCTAATTAACAGTAGTCGGACTTCAAATATGTAGATTGTCATTCTCTAATTCATAACTTTATTGGCAAGCACGCGCAAATTACTACGATATTTTTTATATAAAAATTGAGTCCGAGTGAGACAGACAATTAAATTAAAGATATAAAATCAAATACGAATATATAAATCGGTTTCGTGGCAACGACACAAAAATATTCTTGATGTATAGTAACACATATTTAGAAAGAAAAAAAAAGAGAAATTGAAAACAAATGTTAACACATATTTAGAGAAAACAAAAAAGACGTAGGGAAAAAAATTGAAAACAAAAGTTAAATAAAAATATATAATCATATGGACCCAAATAATAAATGCCCTTGAACTTATGGTTATTTACAAAATAACTTATTAATGAATAGTGACACTAAAACAATTTTTTATAATAGAATTTGAATAGCTTTGGAAACTCAAAGAGTTGAAAATATAACTCCGACCACCCTACTAGGTCCATTGGACACACCTAGGGGTGTTTGAATGGTTACCGTGGTAATAACCAAACTAATTAAGGCTAAATTTTATTAGCCATGGAATAAAATGTCTCCATCCAAATTAACACATAAACCAAATTAACCAAACCAAAGTTTAATTGGTTTGGTTAATCGGATAATTCACACCAAATAACATAACATTACATGAAAACAAGTATCCTGATAATGAATAAAACATAATCATATGTTATTATTATCATAAACTATCATTATATATAAGCAATAATAATAAGACTAACCATCCATGATTATCATCATCATTCGAGTTAATACATCATTCATCATCTTTGCACCTAATATAGTTAGCTTACAACAAACCCTTAACATAAATATTAAATACATACCAATACCACTTATTAGGAAGTTAAAGCTCTCCTACAAAACACTTACACTATACATAGTTTGAGGTGGCTGTCATGGTATTATACATAATCCTAAAGTCTAGTAGTTGTCCAAAATGTTTTGATTTAATAAATAGGCAGGTCCATTTAATTTTTGATCCATAATGCTTTGGTTTGTTGTGCACATGAAAATAAAATAGGGAATCACGAAAGTTTGGTTTGGTTGGTTGCATGAAAGTATAAATAATTTTGTATATTATGTGTATCATTAATTGGTTAATTGGTTTCAATGGTTAGCAATGTTAAAACCAAACCAAACCAAACCAAACCACCTAAACCAAATAAGCTAAATTGTTTAACAAAACCAGACCAATTATCCAAATTAACCAAATGCTACCGGTTAATATGATTACCACGGTAACCAATCTGTTTGAACACCCCCTAGACACACCGACTCCATACCCATATGCCCCAACAAACGACTAGCAAAGAGAGGAAACAAACTCAAAACACAATTATGAAGGATTACAGCTTGGGAAATACAAAGATCAAGTGTTCTCAAAGGAAATATGTTTTAGATAATTCCGAGCATCTTTCTCTACACACTAGTGTGGCCCCGGCCAGTAGGCCGGAGGAAGGTGAGATATAAAATTTGAGAATATAATGGGGTGTATAGCTTATTGTTGTGTAGGTTTTTTTTTTGGAAACACATGATAAAGATAGTGAATTTTAGCAGGAAAGATGCATAGATGATGCAACGAATAAAAAAAATCAGCCTTATGAACCACGTTCGAGTACCTGTTACCTTGTGAAACAGTATTATTTCTGGTAATATGATGAGGTGGAGTAAATTTTATAGAAATCGAATTCCAGAAAACCGACTAAAAAATCCCCTATAAAATACACTATAATTTAATAATTAGGATATCAAATATTACATAATATATATTTGAAATTATAAAAATTGGACTAATCAGGTTGGTCGAGGTCGAACCATTTAATAACTTTAAAATACATTATATTTTAGCCACTAAGATATAAAATAATAGAATAATATATGTTATGCTAGAGAAAATAACATGTTTTAGGATGGCAAACTCATGATGTTCATTTGTTTTACTTGAAACTTGATGATCAAATCCCGTATGAGTCAGTCTCATTCAACTCTTTTATTCTATGGTTAGCGGTTAGCCCATTAGAATCCATGCATTAGTTTATTGTTAAATTTTTTCTTTTTAGCAATAAAAATGAGTATTGTTTTGCCCTTTCAATATATCTTACCAACACTGAGAAATCAAATGGCTTAAAGAAAACCCTATATCTCCTAGAAAAAGCTGCTCAGTGCTCACCAGCTCATGATTCACTTCTCTCTCTCTCTCTCTTTCTCAATTATATCGCTGCCGGTAGCCACTTCTCCCCCAGCTCTGGTTTCTTGTCCTTAATTTTAGCTTTGCAAACTTTTTTCTTGCATGTCATCCTCCCCTGAACGTCAATTTCCACCCCCTCTTGGTCTCTATTTTTCATTTCTTAATCTTCCATTCTCTTATCACTTGTTTAAACCCCTCTCTTTGTATATCTTAGATGCTAGTTTAACAAAGAAGAAGAGAAAGCCACAAATCTTCAATAATACTATATCGTTACAATGAAGCAATATTGTGGAGTTCTTTGTCACTTATCTGTTAGAGCTTACAAATGATGGAAAAAAGGGTGGTTGATTATGATTTGATTAAACAATCTTTAAATTTTACTTGCATGCAATCTATCACCCTTCTTCATGAGCATGACTGGATCTTTTTAGTATGCTTGGATTTCTTTTCATAGGGAAGGGATTAGGTGATTAGCACACGGAATAAGGATTGGGAAAATTATTTTGTAAACAATTATGAAGCTCTCTTTCTCTGATTATCTCCTTTATTCTCGGCGTTGGTGGAGTCCAGATCCAGCATCGGAACAATCCAATACTCGGTTACGGTGATCGCTATGGAGGCATGAAACAGATGCGGCAGTGGCTAGAACCTGTTCTGTTTTTGTGGGCCGTAACAATCCCTGGGCCCATTCAAGTCCGCATGTGTACAGTGAGTTGGTTCGTTCCACAGAGGAAAGAGAAAAAAATTGACACTCCCTATTATACTCTTCCTACAAACGCTCATGGAGCAGAAAATTTGAAATGGGGTCGTTTGCTTGAGGGTTTTGGTGATGGATTTGGTGATGGAAATATATCCATCATGGACTTGAACCGAAATCCATCGTTTGCCTTAGGGAATTAGGGAGATGGAATTTGTGGGGCCCACCACTTTTGGGGTTCCAAATCCGTGGACCCCACGGACTTGGAAGTTCCACCTCTTGAGGTGGGATTTGGGTGATGGATTAAAATCCATGATGGTAAATTACCTTTCTACCCATACTTATTTCTTTAATTACAAATTTGTCCTACTTTAATTCAATGGTCATGCAACGGTAAACTTTTATAATTTCGTATTTTATAAATATGAGAATTTATCATTTCATTTTGTAATATCGTATTTTATTTAAATATGAATGTATATGTGATTTGTTAGATTCACCTAGAAATACTTTATGCTCATCTTGTACATTATTACTTGATTGATTGTCGGATTCCGTATCGGTGAGTTAGCAAGAAGATGATGAGTTGTAGCAATAAAGCGAGCAATTGGCTGCAATTGATACATATTATTGCGTACATTATTAGATGAATTGTTTTTTTATGAAGGATTATTAGATGAATTTTTAATTAGTGCCAAGATGAATTGTTAATTAGTGCCAAATTGTAATACATTTCTATATTTGTAGTTGAATTATTAATCCACATAGTGGTAAAGAATTTAAAATTTCTTTCTTTGTTTTGGATTAGTTTTAAATGAAGGATTTGGATTATAATATAGAAATATAATTAAATAAGGGTAACTAGGTAATTTGTATTTAATATCCACAAATCTAATCAAACAAAGTCCATAATCAAATCCATCAAGCAAACAATAGACTTGTTCAAATCCATAATGCCACCAAATCCATCATATATCCATGGTTTTCCAAAACCCAGGTTTTACCAAAA